ATAGATAATAGGAAAATGACAAAATATAAATTTCTGTCTGACAACCAATAAAAAATGATCTGGATAGCAAGTTTAAACTTTGACAAGCTAAATCTGATATAATTGTTTGAATAAAAAGGGGTAGATGTTGGGTTTTTTTTAAAGAGTATTAGGTAGGTAGTCTTAGAATGAGTAAGATATCACAATGTAACCCTAAAACCTTAAGGAAATGAGTATATGGGTCCATCTTTTTATAAACTCCTAACTTACTCATATCTCATTCTATGTGAAACTCAATTCACACTTGATTCCAACATTAGAGAACAGTTATAAATATTATTGTAGAAATAGTATGGATAATACTTTTTAATATCAAGCAAGAATCAATACTCTTTAGCAACACACAATGCAATATGAATAGCATATTTATTTTTGGACAGCAAACATACATTTTAACAGCAAATTGAGTGAGTAAACTTTTCTTTTTTAATTTACTGAGAACTTCCCTTGAACAGAATAATCATAAAATGTACAGTATGGCAAGGTAAAGTAAAGAAGGGTCAATCTATGATAGCAAAAGAGAATGACACGAAAATATTTACCTTTTCATAAGCACATAACTTTCTCAAGGTTTCCTACAATATCAATATAATTTAAACAGGTACTTTGAAATAAATGATCCCTACTTGAGTAGCATTATTGCTTAACAGTAAACACTGAACCAAAACCAATTTTAGAAGGTGTGTTAGGATTTAATTACAAGGTATGTGACTTCAGTCCCACATTAGAAGTATGGCATTTTAATGTGGGTTTATGAAGTCTTAGGTGTTCTAATTACAATATGGTTAGCTTAGTTTTGTGACGTGATTCCCTCGAAGTTCTTATCAATGTACCTATAACAATTAATCTTCAAGCCTACAGAAACTACAGTATGTATCTTTACTAAAATCTGAACATAAACCAAAGTATTTTAAGTTATAACAATAAACTATTTGGTACTGTGTTAGTCACAATTGATCTTCTATTTCTGGAAACAAAGTCCCAAAAGAAGATTTATCATACAAATTTTATTATTATTTTTAATTCTGGCACATTGTCAAATCCAACTTTTTTTAATAGGGCGATATTGGGAGAGTTTGCTCTTCCAATTTCCAAGTTGTTCAATGGTGAATCACCTACTATCTAAGATCAGAAAACATGGATGGATTATATGATCTAGGGTCATCAGTGAATCTCATTTATTTTGTTTTGCTCTGAGGAACATCATAAAAGCAGTGATAATATATAACATGTAATTCGACCTTAAGAGAGAATGAGAGATTCAGAATTCTATTAGGAAAATATGTCATGCCCATAAACTATAATAAACCCATCATGTAACATAGACAAACCCTCCAAATAAAGACAGATCATGCTCACAAGGAAAGTTCAATGGCAACAGTCCAACAATATCAAAGGCATGATATTAAAAATAAATAAATATATTAGTGGATCTCTTGAACTACATAAAATCTCAACAACTTTGGTCCTGTGTGTATAATTTTTTCCCCTGAAATTGAAAATAATTCGCTTTCACCTGATGTGTATCGTAAAGTGTGCTTGAATTGATTTTGGCCATAAATATTTGTTTTCTAAAGTGTATTTTCTTCTTCCAGCGATAACCCAAACAGGCTCTTAATGTGCGAAATTCAAAAAGTTGCAATTATATTTACAAATTTACAACATTCATATAGAGAAATAAATTGTTATAGAGAAATTTTCCAAAGGGCTCAGCTTAATTAATCCACAAAGCATAATGTATACTCTATTACATAAGGTTAGGCATCAATAAGCTAACATGATAACCGTGAATTTTTTTAAGTAAACATATAAATTCAAGAATTAGCTGAGATTGAATTTTAGATCCCTTTAGTAGATTTTTATTAGTCTGTTTTTAATTAAATTAATAACAATTAACAAATAACATTTGAATGAAAATATAGAAAAGAAGAACAACTGTACATAAATACCAAAGAACAAATAGAAAGAATACTAAGAAAATGTAATTGTTGATATCTTTCTGTTAAGGTTTGGCGTGTGCATAGAATATTTGGCAATTTTTAAAATACAAAGTGTCTAAGTTACGAAGTCATCTCTATCTTAATATCTAAAGACTTATTTATAAATTAATACCAAAGTAATTGCCCAAATAGTTGAACCTCATTGCTTATGTTCCATAATTTTGTCACATGTCTCAATTTGCAACTCCTAATTACTACTTCTAACATGTCGAACTAATTAACATTTACACACTAAGAATTGAACATTTTTAAAAAAATATTATTCTATCATCTTTGAAGTCTTTGAAATTAGACAATCCACCTTTAGGAATAGCTTGAACAAATCTTGTGATGAAAAATTCTTTGACATATTCTTGATCCACAATTATCAATGATAATGTATTTTGAAGACACCTTGATAAAACCTCTTTTTACAAACTTGGTAATCCATTTCAATACATTACAATGTATTCTTGATCCCAACACTTTGTCATCGAACTTTTAATTTGCAGGAGTTATCCATACCGATTTGCACAAAAATTCATTAAAATGTTACCCTCTTTACAACTAAAAAATCAATGTTTTCTTAGTCATACTTGCAAGAAACTTGTTGAAATGTCACCTTCTTTTTTACCAAAAAATAAATGTTTCCTTAATCATACTGTATATAAGAAACTTGTCAAAATTTCTGCTTTGACTATAAATGTTAGGATGGTCAAATTATATATAAAAAAAAACATCACAAAATCCATTAGCTCAACTTATAATTTTTTGAGAAGAAATGATAAATCACCGTTATAGATTATCTTTTTGACAAAAAAACAAAGAAGCTTAAATGAACCTTAAATAAGGTAAAATTTATTTTGAGTAATCTTTATCATATTTCTTACCTTTACAAAGACTTGGAAAAGAAAAATCAATGAAATGTTTTTGTTTGTACGGACAAATGATTGAGAAAATAAGTGGAGGAGTTGAAAATTAACTCCAACGTATATTCTAATAAATTTTCAATATATTACATAAGTAGTTTTAACTTTAGATAAACCTAAGGTACAAATAAAAATTATAAAAAAGATTGAGTAGACACATGTAAAGTAAAATGTGCCACGCTGTAGTAAAGTTGTTTCTAAATAACGTATAATTTTAGAAATGAAGGATATTGGTTTAAGCGGTTGAAATGAAGCAACATGTTTATTAAGGTTTAGTTGGTGTTTATATGTTACTTGTTAAGATAATTGTATAGTTATTAAACTATTCAACTTACTTATTTGAACATATATAGTTGACTCCTAAAACAGGTTTTCACGAAATATTTTGATTAAAAATAAATACTAAAACTCAAATATTGTTATTTGATAAGTTTATTGAGTGCTGAATGAATATATGTTTAAAATAACTTAAGGCATTTTACTTTTACAAATAGTTAATAATATTTTTTAAATTATTAATGTAAATTATAACTTAGTGCATACTTGGCTTAAAATGGAATATACTTCTCCTCTTCCGGAACTTTTGATTTCCATTATCTTGCAATTCTGGTCAATATGCAAAGATTGGCTCAAAACGACGACGAAAAATGTGTAGAAAAATTGAAGAGAGTCTAGTTTAAGTTAAAGCAATTTCAATTCATCAAGATCATTCTATTTGGTAATTGTTGGTGAGTTAGAAATTGATTTTACAAATGCGTCAAGATCAAATCAATTTCATTCAAAACATTTCATAATAAAAACAGAACTAAGAAAAGATAGTTGGATAAAGTCTAAATTCAACTTCTCCGTTCGGATAATTTTTCACCAGCTGCCAGATGTTGTTCTATTTCTTGACGTTGATTTCTCCAAATTAGTAACGTAAATGACATTTCTAACCATTTATGCATGCTACTCTACTTTCATGTTGCTAAATTACACTGTTTTTCTAATGTGTGCAAAGGGCATATTATAAAAATTTATATATGATAAATTATTAAAGAATATAATATTAATATTTCTTACGTGCATGCTTGTATATTTGTATACGATGGAAACTCCTCAGTGACAATTTTTCAAACACAAATTTTTAGATTAAACTTCAGACCATGTGCTTGAGGGATCTGAGTACTTTCTAGTTTTCCACCCGAACCAACACGTTTAGCAATGACGTTAACTTATTTCATGATTGAGATCCATGACAAAGTAAAAGAGTAAGAAGATAACAACTACTTCATGCTACTTTGCTCTTACCCCACCTCATAATTGACATCATTTAAAATTTTTTATAGAATGAAAGGACATCTTAACTGTTTTCACGCAATGGATACATGAATTAATAGAACTACAGAACAAGTTCCATGAAGATTTTTCAAATCCACATTATGTTGGATGCAACCACTCTCACACAACAACAGCATAGCATGTGGGAGATAGTATACATCCAGGGTCCTCAAATCATTATTAGCAAGAGCATGCATGTTATAATGATATATTTTTTTTAAGAGTGCAAATGCTAAAGCACATCTCTTGATGATGCATCAGAAGAAGATTTCTCTGGTTGCTTGAAACAGAGTCTTCACTGAAAATTCTGCCACTGCCTTGGATGAAGCATAAGCGAGTTATCCCCAAGTCAAATGAATGTAAAGATAATATACAATTTGGCACCTAAAAAATAATTACTTGTGCTACTTTGTCTTGGAAGTTTTTGTCTATGCAAGTTATTCCTTTGAGATATGAAATTGTCTACAAGTTGGCAACCTGATGTTTATAAACTTGTAAGTTAACACTTTCAAGGACTAATTTGTATAGATATGAACTTGCTGGGATCAAAGTAACACCAATTGTCATTTTCAAGGCCCAAATTGTAATTAAATCGATATATGAAACTTCCTTAATTAAATAAAATCAAAAGGAGAAAAAAATAAGCATTATATTGACATACAAAATATTTACTCATCATCATCAAAGAAATGCACAATTTCTGTCTTATCAAAGTCACAAAAAAGGCAAAAATCTAATTTGAATGGCTACTCTTTCTGCCATGCTTGCCAACATGGTGCAACCATCCAATGCCTTTGAGGGCCTTGGAGAATTTGAGAAGGTTGGGTCTCCCCATTCCTAAATTCATCTTCCCTGTAGAGAATTTCAAAGCCTGTAAACAGCACAACTTACCCTCCATATCCTCTTCTTCCTCCTCTTCCTCATCCTCACTATACTCAACTTCACTTTTCTTACCCTTCTTGGTGTTGCTCTTCTGAAGAACCTTGTTGGACTCTGCCTCGTATGTTTCCCAAAGCATGTCCATTCCTTCACTCCCATCTGCATTATGCCTTTCCTCAAAAAGCTTGCAAGCCAAGGTCCTCCTCCACTCTTTTTCCACTCTCATTGAACCAAAACTCCCAAGATTATTTCCCGTACCTTTTCCACTGTACACCCAATTGCTTTCTGGACTCCCAAGATTTGCTTCTAGTCTTTGGGATAAGGACTTCACCCTCCCAGTTGAAGCAAATGGAAATTCTCCATCACTACTATTACTATTCACTTTACTAGTGTATGTGTCTCTATTACCCATCATTTTGGATCCACTTCTCAAGGGCCATTTGTCTTTACTTTCTTCAACTTTATTGAACTCATCAATCAGTGGCTTGACTTCTTTGTCTTCCTTTTGAAAAGACATATCTTGATTATCTTCCAACACTTCATTTTCTTGGAACAAGCTTTCTAGGCTCTTAACTTCTGCAATAGGCTTAATGGCTTCAACTTCATCAACTTCCTCAACTGGGTTTTCGTCCAAGTTAACACATGTCTTTTCCACTGGACAAAAATCTTCTTCTCTTACTTCACCTGAACACTCAGCATCAACTGCTTCAAAGCTTCCTGAAGAGTCTTCCCCTGACTTTGGCTCAAAAACTTCAAAAATTGATGCTTGGAACATAACAAGATACGCTTCAACCTCACCAAGGAACCCCATTTCTTCATCTATCTCATCAGCTTTGGAGTGCAACCATGCTAGAAAAGATTGCGAAACTGAAAGCAGAATGCCCCATTTGGAGTCAGAAAGCTCAGAACTTGAACCACACTTTTCCTGAACAAGGTTGTTGGGAGTGAAAGTGAGAAGAGCAACAAGGAGAAGGGTCGTGGTGATGAACAGAGGAGAGAGAAAAGAGAGGAGCTTGAGGAGGTAAGGGGAGAAGAAGATGAAGTAGGAAAAGTACAAAGGATGAGAAAAGACGGAGAAGCAAAAATGGAAGAACATAGAGAAGAGATTTCCAGAGAACTCATTCTTCTTGTCGGAAGTGCTAGAGAAAGATAACTCAGTCATGTTTAGTTTGTGTTGGGGCCAGAGCAGAAGAGAGAAAGAAAAGAAATGGTTTTGTTTTGTTTTTGTAGCAAACTAATAACTAGGAACTAGGAATGGTGTGGTGTTGTGTGTGGGTGTGTGTGTGTGTGTGTGTGATGATTTTGCTTTTGGAGATAGAGAAGAGAGTGTGGAAGTTGGAAGTGGACGCGGCGTGAATATAGGAAGAGAGATTGGTGAGAGAGAAGAGTGAGTGATGAAGAGTAAGGAACACTTGGATTTGTGAGGAAAAAGCAACTTTAGAAACTTTTCTCCTTTCGTGTCTAATGTCTATAACCAACAACCGCGTTGGCGTTACCCACCTCTTTTTTTGGCTGTGTAATCAGAGGGAGCACCAAGGATTAATCCCAAAGATGTCACTTATCAGACTACTAATGCAATTAATCTTTCATATCTAATCACGGTTGTTGCTATAATAAACAATAATTAAGCAAGTTATCTTCTTTTTTTATGCCAGAACACGACAAAATGAACTGGGTGAGGTGAGATTTAATTCAAAGATAGTTAGAACAGAGCTTCTGCATACACACGCAAAAAACAAATTATAATATAATGTTATAATGAAATGTAACTTTGTTGATTTCGATATATAAAAAATGCGTAGACTTGAATTAATTATTGTGTATATAATATCGTATAGTTAAAATCTTATTAGAAATTTTTAAAAATAAGTTAATTTAAATATGAAGTTTGAACATGTTCTATTAGCTAAGAGTTTACTTTTTCGACAAACACATGCAAAAATATTTGTAGTTTAGAAAAAAAAAGTTTATTCATAAATTTAAATATGAAATTTATTAAAATAAACCTAAAAGAGTTTATCAACAATTATTACATATTTTTATAATCTTAAATAAGTTCTTTTGAGCATCCTCTTATTTTATTAAATATGCATTATTAGGTAACATTTGACGTTGAGACACAGCAAAATGGAACATAATGTTTTATTTTATTATCCTTAAATTATTTTAAAATATGACAAACATAGAAAAATTACGTCATTTTTTATTCCAAATTTATGTTATTTTTATTTCGTTTTAATACGTATATAAATACTACCTTCAAGATATTCAGAGTAAGGAGGGAATTACCAATTTACCATAAATTAACTCAGAATATCTTACTATTCAACCCAGTAAAATGTTTCGTGAAAGAGTGGAAAATGGAAGCAATGAATTGTATATTTCTGTAGCAACTAATTAGTGGTAATCATAATTGTTTAGACCAATTAGAGAACAAAATTATATGCAAATAAGGAATTGTCAAACTTTGTTCCATAGATAATTAGACATAAAGGTTTCCGTTAGTGTTCTGTTTTCTCCTTTGGTAGAGGGATATTATTCTGCTTTTTATCGCTTTGTTTTGCTATTAGTTTTTTAAAAGTCATTGGTGTAACTATTGGCATTTATAACATATTTTATTTTTATATTCTTAATTGGCAATGCCCCATGTATCTATGAAGCATCATACTCTGAGAATTGCTTAATTTAAATGAAGAGGAATAAATTAATGGAACCAAATGACTAAAGAAATGCATGCTTTTTATGGGATGTGCTAAAATATATTGATTGATTAGACAGAATAAAAAATTCAAAGGGTAATTTGGAAAGGGAAAAAGAAACTAAAATCTAACTAGCACAGATCATGATTTTTCCTATTTCTCAATGAATGAAGAATAATGAATGTTTATTTATAATAACGGCTCTTTGTGCAACAATCAAAACAAAGGACTACTTATTACCACAAATTGAAGCAGAAATAAGCTAAACACAATCTACCCATTGATGACAAAGCTTGAAACTTTATCCCTACGATTGAAGTTAGAATTGGAGCTGTCCCTTCCTCTTTGATTTGGCCCTATTGGCCTCCATTAATCTTATACCCCCAATTCTCTGCTTCAACTGGAATTGGATCCTCTTGTAGCAGCTGAACCTGAAAGGAAACTTGTCAACTATATTTTGTCACATTTCCATTTGATCATGTGTCTCTCATTTCTTGCTCTTTTTCAGATAAATTGATGGCGAAAATGTTACTTTGCTCCACACCTAAGAACAAAATAAGAATTCCTTCGTTGTTTTCCCTGAACAGTGTTCCATATCCTCGAGCAAAATATATCATATGAGAAATTTATTTATCTTTGTGCAGTATTCACTGGTAACTACTGTTATGAAAATATCATTGATAAAACAATTTACTCTCTACCACATCACTTTAATTTCCTCTATTCTAACAGTTTTGTCTCTAAATTTACAAAATCTTCACTTTATATTTAACTTTGTAAAATATCATTTACTTTAATTCTTTGATGTAATAAAAAAATAATAATAACACTTTATATTGCCAAGAATTAAAATAAGAGTTTCATGAAATAAGATATCAAAGTGATTAGCTTTTACAGTTTTGAAACTAAACTAATATTTACTGATACTGCTTTCATTAAGTAATAAGAAAGTGATGATCCTAAAATCTTAACGAATAAGACACCATTTACATGTTAAGAAACTAGCAGAGGCCTAAAATAAAAAAGTTTAAGTATAAGCTAACTTCACTTTGTTTTAAAGGTCTGCCACTGCCAGCAAGGTTGTGTTACCTCTGACCCAATGACAATTTAGACGAATCACATTTTCTTTATTTCTTTTAAGGTACAAGAAGGTTCTCATTTTTGTTCCACCAAAGTAAACTCAACAAGGACAAAGGCACCACTGTTGTGTGGATGCAAGTTTGCTCAAAACATGCACCAAATAAGTGAACAACGAAAAAGGGTCAAAACAAAACACATAGAGATTCTGATGAAACAAGAAAGAGAAAAAAGAAGATGGTTATGGTTTATGGTTCATAGGGCCAGTTATAATAGAAGGTGAGAGAGGGGTATGGGGTTTGGATTGATTGCACATGGGAAGCTACTCATGGCTACTCATGTGTATGCTATGCATGCTCCCCTCCTTCCCAATTTGCTTTTCTCCTTGGAAGGTCCCATATGTCTGTGGTTACACTTTTGCTTTATGTATCTTAGTCTTCAAATACATTTTTGTTTTTCACTTTTTCTTTTCTTTTTATTTCATGTTTGACTAGTAATTATTTCTCTTTGTTTCCCCTTTGGTATAGACCAGTAATTGTAATTCCTTTCTAAAGCAAAAGAAACAACAAGATCCTTCTGTTATCTCAAAGTGAAGTCACAATTTCATGAAATGAATATGTGTGAATATACAGGGTCAGGGAGAACACGATTCTTAATAATTGAAACGGGAATTAAACGACTAGTAACACAACTTTTTCATATTTCAGAACTTGGGTATCACAGAAATGCAAGTTACTGTATTTCATTTCAATCACTTTTTAGTTTAATCATGAAATTTGTCAAGATGTATATAACATATAGATATACAGACAAGATTTTTGTTATACTTTTATGATAGATGTATTCTCATTTCATCTAATTTTTAATACTTTTATAATTTTTTTTTATAAAATGTAAGATTAATTAGTCTAACGGTTGAATCGTTTTATATTATCTATTTTATTATGTATATTAAATTTCACACAATTTAAATATATTTTTAGATGTTTTATTTAAATTTTAATAACATAATACTCATTAAAATAAATAATATAATGAAATTATTTTTTTAATTTATAAAATTGATTTACTTAAAAAACTTTCAAATTAAAGATTAAATTGATAATTCTATGTTAAGTTATTAAATAGTGTAAGTATTGAATAATACATGATGCAAATGAATTTGACTTATATATAAAATTAAAAAAATAGAAGTTAATTTGTTCTTAAAAAATAACTTATAATAAAAGAATTAGTCAAATTTTATTAAAAAAAAGTCTTTTAATTATATTTCTAATTAACATGTAACATTCTTATCGATTAATGTAAGTGCATTTCTTAGTGATACAACAAGAGCTAGTTTTGAATGAATTTTATGACTTTAGAAGGTAAAATAAAAAGTTTGGATAAAGGTTTTGACTATTTATAAAGAAGAATTTAATTTTTTTAAAATTAAAAAAGACAGCATGAGTTAAACATTTTTCAAAAGAGAAGAGTGAAATTTACTAATTTAATTTAGAAATTAATTAACTAGCGATTTATCTCTTGCATTGATTGTATCCATATTTAAACTAGCTAGGGATACTTGTACGAATTTATAGTCACACAATTTATTTTAAAAGCTTTTTGTGGGCTAACAGACTTTGATGTTTTGTTGAGTGATGTCCTTTCCTTTACTACCACTTAATTGATTTCTTATATTTGGTGAAGCAGCCAACACTTTGATCTCAGGTTTTTACACAAAATTATCAATATCACACTAAACCAATTAGCATTTTAATTCTAAGTGTACACGTTTTGCCATTGCCAGTATTAAAAGCCATGAGATTTTTTAAGTGTTGCTTTAAGCATGTCCCATCTATTAAAAGTCAAGTTTTGCTAAAATGTTTTTTTTTTTTTTAATAAATGAGATGGGCAGACTTTTTTTTTGTCATGTTTATCATTAACTATAAATGATCATTTCATCAATGAATATTAACGGTTAAATTTTATTTAAACAATATTATTAAAATATTAATATACATATATTAACTTCAAATTTTCAATATTAATGTATAGATATATACTTACCATTTTTTTAATTTATGAAATATTAGATAAGATAAAATGTTATAAAAAATTATATCATTTAATATTATCAATGCATTGAATGAGATTAAATTATATTGAATAAGCATAAGTGGTCCAATAAGACTGAATATCTATGAGCAACTCAACGTTTAAATTAAATAAACTCTCGTACTGTATTGAGAAACTTAGGTTTAACCTTTACAAGAAGTAGTATATAACTAATTTTAGCTAATATGAAATATTTTAATAGATTATATATGTAAAATTTAAGAATGATTCAAAATTATTTGATATTTTATTTATATATATCAAAATTAATGTAATATATACTTTAAAAATTTATAAAATAAAAATTATAAATATTTAATTTTGACAAAATTTAATACAAATAATTTAAATAATGTATAATTATAATTCAACAATTGAATTTTTCTAAATTATTTCTATATTAAGTTATCAACGGTGTAAGAGTGAAATTTAATCTCTTTCCATATATATCAAATAAAATTATATTTTATATTAAATTATCAATTGTGTAAGAATGAAATTTGATACTTTATATAACATCGTTATGATACTTATGAATGCAACGAATCATAACGTATGAACAATAATTTTATTTATTATTTTAATATTTAAAATTGATTTATACGGTTAACATCATTTAAAATTTAGCCGCCAATATTGTTATTCCAATACATATAGTGAAAATAAGACAGTGATCGGAGTGGTGACTATGATAATATATATTATGACAACAATAATATCAATAAAGTGACAAAATAAGATAATTAGATTGAAGTTAAATAATTTGTGTCATCTTAAATTATTAGAAGAATCACGTAACTGCAATTAAATTAATAATCATGGACGAAATAAAAAAAATTTGTTAAGGACAAACAAATATTTGAATTCGATGTTTTTGGATAAACAGTTGGTTGATAACTAATTTTTCAAAGAACATATCAATCAGAGTTCAATTTCTAGTTGTGTACATGAAAAATGAGAAATGTTGTTAAAAAGGACAAAATTCACAATCTATGCCCCAAAAGAGATTGTGAGGATACTCTTGGTGTTAAAAGAAAAAAAGAAACAGTAATGACCCTTATATTCTCATTATTTTCACCTTTGATTTCAACCAAACAAAACTGAGTTAAACAATCATCAAAGGCTCATAGCATACGCAATAGTGATGTTAACGATCCCTTCATATATGATTGTGAATCTTGAATTCATAGCTACATAAAATGTTAAAGAGGAGTGATGCAATATATCACCAAATTAAGCAGATCAAACACCAAGATTTGAAGGGCAAGAAGCAAGTAAATAATAATAGAGGGAGGCTTTGAGCGTTGGAGAAAATAATGAGGCTATGTAATGATGTAAAGGGTCCTCAAAGTAGCAAATGTCAACCTCCACAAGATGAAAATTATTGCCTTTAATAAGCTTTTAGCCCGACAGAACAGAAACATAAAAGAAGCACTCATCAACCGATACATAAAGTGCCAATTACACCCGAGAGTTAATTTCAACCCATGCAAATTACAAAAGCACACTTGGAAAAAGGAGGGAGAAAGAAGGACCAACGCACTACCATTAATTAAGTTAAGACCATTTTATGTTAACAACCGCAACTGACGCATTCCATCACAAAAGCTTTACAACCACTGTTAATTTACACCAATTTTGGTTCATATAAAGTAAGGCAATTAAGAAAACGAGTTACAGCAATCACAATTGTCATCAAATATATATATATATATATATATATATATAATAAACAATGCAGTTGTTAAAATTTTATCTTTTTTGTTTTTATCACTAACTCTACAATTCTTTTGGGTTTTCTTTCCTTTTAAATACACCGCTTAAACTGAAATTCAGTTCAATTATACAAGAAACATTTTACCAAAGAAATTGCATACAGCTAATGCACACCTGGCTTCGCTTAAATTGCATGCAATTGTGACAAATAATTGTGTATGTTACACTTTCCATTCCAAAACTAATGCACCAAGCTAAGTGTGCTGTGCTTAGCCAACGAAGTTTGTTAGGCTAATAAATGTTGAATCCTAAACAACCCAACCATTGTTTCATTTTCAATAGCTCAAAAAAATGACTTTCAAAATCATAATAAGTGACTTTTCATGTTAATATTATTAGTGTCTTCTTCTGGCACAGTAGGCAGTGACAATATGATAAAGCGGACTGAAAAGTTAGTTACAGTTTGAAACAATTAAGATTTTGATAGAAACTATATTTTAGTTGGATGAGTTAACATGTGATAATGTTTTTGTGATTTCTGTATTAAAATCAACTAATTATTCATCTGCTTTTCGAAATGTAATATAAACAACCAATAATATATTTGTATTGTTATTTATTGAACAGAAACGCTTGGTAGAGCAAAGATGTGTTTCACGAATTGACGCACGAAGATTGTATGAGTACATCAACGTATGAATATTTCTGTCACATTTCTGAAATTTTCATCTTTTTTATTTTATAGTTCTCCAATAAAATTTTGACAAGTATTTCAAAACAAATTTGGCGCGTTCATTTTCATACTAAATATCACTTATGTTATTGAATATCTCAATTTCATTAAATATGATATTATCATACTATTTACGATAAAAAAATGACAGTTTGTAAATAAATAATTCAAGAGCAATCTGGGGACTAGATTTAGGTCCTCTTGAGTTCTTTTAAATGTGTTGTTAATATAACAGTAAAATTGACGTCGTAAAATAAACGATTTATAGTAGGAACAATAAAATTATAGAATAGAAACGCTATTAAACTAAATGCAAATGCTTACAGTAAATCAAACAAGAACCAAATGCAGGAACAGAAATAAGCAAAATGAACAAAAACTAAAATGCGGAAACATAGATGTGCAGGAATATAAACGTATAACTCCACGCAATGAACAACAACAATTGTATATTTCCTTATAGCTGATATTTGGCATTATGCAAGTTTTTAGCATGCAGAGAATTTTAAGTACAGTGTCTGGGTGCCAAAAGTCGTCCCTTATATAATGGAATTTTGGAGTATTTATAAGCAGGAGAATCACTACCATTCTTCTTCTTTTGCAGGCACTTTCTCAGTAACTGTCTTCCATACGTGCTTGTCTTCAACCACTATTGTCCATTATCCAAGTTTGCTTATGATTGTGTTGTCGGTTGAGGCTTTTTCTGTAACTGCTATCGCTCATGATCTTTCTTTATGTTGTTGGATCTTTGTTTGGTGGTAACTGCTGGTAATTGTCGGTGATCGCTTTTGAACCTTGTGTTAATCTTTTGAGTCCTATCATGACTCTTACGAATTTTTCTGTTTTTTGAGCAGTTCTGGGAGAAATCAAAGAAGCTCATTTAGCTTTGTGAACTTAGAGTAGTTTCTCCTTTGATTTCTATTTTTCGTCTAAATCTGGGGAGTTGAGAGTCATTTTTAGTCACGTGAACTTAGAATATTTTATTTGTTTATTTTTGTTTTTCGAGCAATTTTAGAGGGAATATGGAGCTCAGTCTAGCTTTGTGACCTGGAGTATTTTTTTATCATTCCTTATTTTTTGAGCAATTCTAGAGAAAGTCTGGAGCCCAGTCAGGTCTGTGGACTTAGAATATTTTCTGACCACTTCCTATTTTTCGAACAATTCTGTAGGGGGAGCTTAGTCAGGTTCTTTAAAACCTTCAAAAATACCTCGAAAGACCTTCAGTCATATGGACTTGGAATAATTTCTCTTGTCAATCTAATTTTTGACTTGTTTTAGCTATTCTTAGTCTAGGGATAAAAAAATCCTCAAAAACACCTTGAAAAGTCCTTCAGTCTTGTGGAGTTGTGATAATTTTCTCCTTACTTTTTTGTACTTTGAGTAGTTTTTTAAAGAAAATATGAGGTGACAAAAACCTCTAAAACAACTCGAAATGTGACATTTTCGATAGAAACTAAGGTTTTTCTTGAAAAACCTTTCAACACTTTTTAGGTTTGAACCTATTTTTCAATAAAGAATGAGACTCCTTCTCTGATCCTCAAAATAATTTTATAACTTGAAAAAATTTCCTTACTCCAAACACATACTTAAACTCAATTTTATCTCAATTCAAAAAAAAAAGCTTGAAGAAGAATATTACCAATACACTTTCTAACACACTCTTAAATGTGAAATTGAAATTTATTAAAACCTATAAAATTATTCTAACATTCATTAAGTTGAAAATAGAAGTTCCATTATTTTTATTATTTTTAATAAGCTTTAATCAATAATAAAAAGTTTGAAACTGTTATCTACATTTGTTAATATTTTGGAATTAAAAAATTGTGTAAGTGAAATATTAGGATTGGATTAGGAATATGCATAACCCTTCTTATAGACACACCTACCAGCATGGAAAAAAAAAATAATGTTTGAGAAATACATTATTAAATCCCTCCATAAAATAATCCATGAAATACTTTAATTTCTAAACCAAAAAATGAAAAATCCATCTGTCCCTAATCTAATAGCAAAGGTGATATGCATAGATACAAGTGCATGACTAGTTTTGGCACGCATGATGCCTTTTCCACATAGGATGCCAAATAAATGTCGCCGTTATGACTCTTCCTTATTTTTCCTGCCAACGTTTTGATTTTGTGATCGAAAGCCTAACTCTTTTTACCATATATTCCAAGGTTGTCGTACCCAAATTATAAACACCATCCCCAAATTAATTTGGATTCAAACTTGCAGCTTTAGTTTGAAGAAACGAGTAATTTTAAGACAAAACCAAGTTTTGCTATTTCTTCTTAATTATATCTAAAAGATGTTCTCTGATATGAAAGAAAGCAAAATTATATAATTAATTATTAGATTGTATATGATTTTGTATAAAAATACTTTTGTCTAGCACAATTTTTTATTAGATAACTAGGAATATTACATATAAAATAAAAATGAATTAAGAGAAACACTTTTTAGATGTATGGAATTTAACATCTCCAAGTCGAGGATGATCAATTAATCACATGGTATTTCAGACAAGTTTTAAACGAATGACTTCATTGCATGTATGGATCAAGTTCAAAGCGTGTCCATTACACGTTCACAATAACCATAAGCAAAATCAAACCATTACAATAACAAGCTCCAGAATCACCACATATACTTCATAGAACACTGCTAAAAGATTTTCATTTTAATAGCACCAATCTATTTCATTCTACAACCGAATGCAGCCAAGTTGTTATCATTCTGTCATAACAGGTTTGTTCTCACTGGCTTTGGGTCTCTGCTCTTTTGGCTTCTGCTCCTCCGTTTTCCTGAGATACAATACAACAATTTGATTAATCGTGACAACAAAATCTCAGAAAGAAGATCAACATTAAATAGTAGGGGAGGGGTGGCGGGTTTTAACAAACCCGAACAGAATTTAAGTTCAGGCAACAGTTAAAGCACATTTATCGTTATGAATATCTTCAACGACTAGTTCATAATGTCATACCCACAGTCAAAGAAAAATGAGATTATCAGTGATATAAAAATGGGAAACGTAATTTCAGGCTGAAGTTCGTAAGTGGAAATGTAGAAATTAAATGTCATGTCCTCTTCAAAAACACCAAATTGCATGTGTGGAGAACATTAAAATCAACCTAAATAATAATACAAGAAAAAACTTTAAGCCATTTCTTTCAGAACAACAGCAGTTCTAGTATAGATAAAGCTCAAAAACCCTTTAGCAAATCTAAATGCCACCCTAAACAAAAAATCATTAGGACATTAAACTGCAAACTTATCCTCAAATCAGAGCCACAGAAACTATAGTGTATGAACTCCAATTTGACAACCCTCGTCAACCAGTTTACCAATCCCCAAGTATCCAGTCAGGAAATAGACATCAGCTATTTAATAAATCAAGATTAATTAGTCCTGGTCAGGACATGAACCTAATATAACTTGCCAAATTATTACCCTGTGATTGGAACTGCACAACAGAATGCCCTGTGATCAACTCAAAAGCAGAGTCATCATAATAAAACTCTACAACCTTATAGACATCATAAGGTAAAACTAATAGCACAACAGGATTTCAATAATTTCCATGATTACAAGCTAGCCCTCCTTTTATTTGGCAATGAAACCCAAAGCTTACACCACAAAATTAACTAAACTAGTTACACACCACAAAGAGGAAAAAGGCACCATCGATCGTTGCAAACAAGTGTACTTGTTAGGAATAGAAATTGGAGAGAATACTCTACCAGTATTTAGACAATCCAAAATTAACTGTCTCAAATCTTGTTCTGTATTTTGGAATAGTTCAAGCGGCCAAAGGAAAAAAAATCATTCAATGGATGCCATGGTACACATTTAACTAAGTTATCTACAACATATTGCCCTGTGGAATAAGGCCAGGTTATTATTGCTACTTGCTACATTTACCATCCATAGACCTACCACCACTTCCTAAACCTATTCAATGGCCACTAATAGCAAGCATTTTCAGCTTATTTACCAATTTCTACGCAAACTTGGAAACTAACGGAAAAACACATCTTCCATTAAAACCCTAATCTAGCAACCTCAACGTTTCCGTTAGAGAGAGAAAGAATACAAACCTCTTATCGGAGGAGCCTCCCTTTTGGCTGAGGAAGGATCGGAAAAGAGGAGAGTTAACGTCGTAAATCATAGTCAATTTCTGAGGGAGAAGGTCCGATTGCAACAATAGAGAAACCCTAGTTCTTTTTCTGCGTCACAGTTTCTGCAACGTTCCAGAATTTATGCTTCATGCTTGCTTGCTAAGCCCATATCAAGCCCACATTGCTAAGCCCACATCTTTCATGCTAGTAGTCTGTGGAATATTTTATTTAACATGGGCTTAGTATTGTTTTTAAAAATAAGAAAAGTATGGAGTAATTTAAAACTTTTGTTGACAAAAAAAAAAAAAAATCTTTTGTACAAATGAAATTATGAAAAAGTTTATCTGAATCTGATAAACTCATTTGGAAGCAATTTCAGAACCTTAAAATGTTAGGAAAAGACAAAATTTGATAATTTCTTTTTAGAATAAGTTTTAATACGAATAAACAAAAAAACTGTTTGACTAATTTTTAAAATGACTTAGCTAACTATTAAAAAAAATAGCTAACTATAAAACATGTAAATATAATTTCGACATAAAAAAAAAAACTTGTTATACGTACAGGTAGACATATCAACAATAACGAGAAGAAAATCATAATAAATTTGTTGATAAATATTTTAAAGATCAACGCATTATGCTTAGTTATTTAAATGTTATATCACATTATTTATCAAAAATATTTTTGTCATGTGCAGTATTATTTATTAATTCTCTAATTGCAATATATGTTATAAAATATATTTATATCAATATTTAAAAATAATAAATTATGTACTGCACTTCATAATTAAAGTTTAAATTGCACTCACAGAGCCACAAAATAAGATCAACACTGTTTTGATTTCTTAGTCCTATATTTACACCATTTTCTAATGAAGTTTTGGTGCTTCCACACTTGTCTTTTGAAATCCGATCTTTGTTAAATTGAGAAAACACTTTATCGCTGCTAAAGAGCACTACGAACATGAATGTGAAACTTTTCAATCCACCACTAATCTCTTCCTCTCAAATAATGTCATAGGTTAACCTTTACGGTCTTCCATAGATAGTGAACTTGCACTACATAGAACATAAGACGGTATCAAGGTAAGCTTTAAATATGTGATTATATTTGTTGAAAGTAGACGTTTATTTGTTTCTATCATCACCTAAAATTGAACTTCTAAGACTAAGTTATTTAGAGACACAAATTAATTTGATAAGTCTATTTAAAAACTAACATATGAGATAATACAAATTTTTAAACAACATGATAAACTTGCCAAAGATGACCAATTAACTCACTTTCCAAGATTATTCTGAAACTGTGAGAAAAGTACAAGCCTACAAATATGAATACCAATAATATTTAACAAGGATTAAAAATTAATTTCAATAATAAACTCTTTAGATTGATACCCAGAACTGTTTAACACACATCTTCCCTTTAATGGAGTAAGGAACATACCTAGAAACTTGTGTGAAACAGGTACTATATATTGAAACTGATAGTTGTTCAAACTCATAAGCCAAAATGTCACACATACCCTCTAGAAGAAATTTAGGCCATAGTTAATTAAGTGAATTCACCCTGAGGTGCTCTAAATGATCTTCCACAAAGTTTTGCATTATATCAATCATAAGCAATACTTTGTAGTTGGAATGATGTTAGTTCTCCAACTCTAGTTTTTAAACAACTTAATGTTCTCTAAAGTCTCTCTATCCCATTAAGAAACTTTTGTGGGTCTTCATTTGCATTGGATAAGAAAAAAAAAGGAAGTTTAAGCTTTAAAAATTCTGCTAAAGTTACCTCAACATTTCTAGAATTGTCACATGCTTATTGTTCACCCTATCTATCACCTTAGTGGGGTTTACTAATACCCTGTTATGGTTGCTGCTAAGTTGCAAAAATATCAACAAGTTGCTAACATTAATAAGTTGTTGCATAATTTCTTTTAATCTCTCTATTCTAGGAATAAGATTAACAAGCATTGCATCTTCACACCTCCCGCTAGACACAATTGCATGAATTGTGTGAACATTACATTTTGTCTTGTCCTATTTTTTGTTTAAATAACACGAATGAAAAAATGCCTACAAAATGGAAATAGGATTTTTTTAACACTATTTGGTAAATAATATGAAGAATAATATTATTTTACATAAAATACATCTAAATAATAAAAATAAAATTTCTTTCATAAAAAATAAAAATTTTAAGAAATAAAATATATATTTCAGTTTTTAAAGTAAAGATTAAAATATTCTAATATTACATTTATCTTATTAAAAATATAAAATATTTAAATAAAGATTAAATATTCCAAAAATAAATTTTTAGTTGTTATAACAAAATTTTAACTAACTTTATTTAATTAATAATAACTAACTAACTAAAAATAAGTTTTTTTTATCCTTCTATTCTCCCACCCCCACCCACCTAATAACACACTTCACTTATTCTCTCTATTTATCTTAACAAATATCGATCATAAGACACTTTTTTTTATTTTCCCTTCACAGAGTGAGAAAAAGCAAAGGTGAAAGGGACAATCATATTTTTGCTTCATTTCACTTCTTTATAGTATTTATTGTAATTTTTCTTAAAAAAAAAGTTAATGAGCCAAAAAACCAAAAACTCATTTTTGGTATTATTTCTTTTGTTAACCATTATTGATCTTTATTATTTGTTCTCTTATTTAGTTCTAGATGTTAATTAGTTTTATTTATTTTTCTTTATTATTTTTTACTTTCTGCTTCGTTTTATTTGTTATGATGGTATAATATACAACATGTTAGCTAATTCTTTCATTTTTACTTTTTATTTTTTTAATAAAAATTATTTTGTGTATCAATTTTATTTTTCTTCCCATGCTTTTTTATTTTATTACCAAATTATGGCATGATAACCACCCAACATTTTTATTCTTATTTCTATTTTTTATTCCTTTCTCTTTTTTTTTTGTTTCTTGCAACTGCATGCTTTATAATTATTAAACTGGATTCTTCACTGCATTTTTTAAAGCACCCTTTATCTTTGAAGTTGACACACTAAATTTTGTCTATAGTTGTTACTAGTTAATATTAGATTGTCTTAATAATTTATTAAATGACTCATGTAACTTATGACTTGACTCTAATTATAGAATTTAATGTGATGGTAGTTAATTATGAAAGATAAAGTCAGTGGGGATATAATTGTAAGTTTAAATAAAAGAAAACACTTCTCTCTCCCTTTAGAAATATATAAGAGTTGTTACTAAAATACTATGTTTCGGTATGTTTTGAATCTAATCTTATTGTAGTACCCAAAAATAGTAAAATAGTTAGTAGTTAAATTTTGGTGCAACTACTCATGTGTCACATGTAATACAAGAATTTATTTCAATTCAACCCATAAGTAGAAATGAAAAGTTCTTGTACATGGGGAGTAGAATGAAGGTACATATAGAAGGAATTAAGACTTATAAATTGATCTTAGACACTGGTTGTTGCATAAATCTAGAAAAATGTCTCTATGTGCTTTATGTGTTAGAAATTTAGTTTTTGTTGCAAAGTTAGACGATGATAGATTTAACTTTAAGATTGGTAATGATGTTTTTTTCTTTATATAAACATATGTATTATTTTGGTTTGTTACTCTAATAGATGGTTTATATTGTTTTAATCTTATTTAGGGTTTAGGGTTTAGGGTTTAGGGTTTTAGTGTCTAAGATCAATTTATAAGTCTTAATTCCTTCTATGTGTACCTTCATTCTACTTCCAATACTATGCTTAACATGAAAAAAAAGATTAAAAAAATTCAACAATAAGATTAAAACAATATAAACCATCTATTAGAGTAACAAACCAAAATAATACATATGTTTATATAAAGAAAAAAACATCATTACCAATCTTAAAGTTAAATCTATCATCGTCTAACTTTGCAACAAAAACTAAATTCCTAACACATAAAGCACATAGAGACATTTTTCTAGATTTATGCAACAACCAATGTCTAAGATCAATTTATAAGTCTTAATTCCTTCTATGTGTACCTTCATTCTACTCCCAATACTATGCTTAACATGAAAAAAAAGATTAAAAAAATTCAACAATAAGATTAAAACAATATAAACCATCTATTAGAGTAACAAACCAAAATAATACATATGTTTATATAAAGAAAAAAACATCATTACCAATCTTAAAGTGAAATCTATCATCGTCTAACTTTGCAAATGTTTTGCTTCCTTATGGCATCAAGGGTCAGGTCATATGTCTAAAGAAAGGATGTTAAGTCTAATGAAAAATGAAATTTTACCTTAAGTAGATTTTACGACTAGGATGTATGTGTGAATTGTATTAATGAAAAATAAACTAAACATATATCAAATAATCCAACCACAAAAAGTAATCAATTCCTTGAGTTGATACACATTGACATTTGTGATCCTTTTGACTTCTTATCTTGAAGTGGTGAAAAATATTTTATTACCTTTAAATGACTTCTCACAATATTGTTATCTATGTATTTTGCATGAAAAATTTCAATTAGTAGACACTTTACCAATGTTTATTGATAAGGTAGAAAGACAATTAAATAACAAAGTAAATGTTGTGAGGTCAGACAAAAATAGTAAATATTATAGTAAATTGAATAAAAGTGGATAATGTTTAGGTCCATTTGCAAAACTTTTAGAAAGTCGAGGCATATGTGCACAATATACAATGCTTGACACACCACAACAAAATGATGTAGCTGAAAGAAAGAGTTATGGTCTTATAGAAAAGGTTAGAAATATGTTATAATTCTATACATATATCATCGTAGATGCATGCTCGGTTGAGTTTAGTGGGAGTGACGATGAATCATGATAATAAAAATTAGAAAGACACACATGAAAACTCTTACGACTTGTGTCTCTTCTCAAGTTATTGTCTCTTTTGTTGTATCACAGTCACATACACATGCTAAGACAACAAATTAACATTACAAACCCACAAGAACAACATATGGATGATGAGCTAGCTAACAATATATAAGTCGCAAATGAGCAAGTGGTAGATGAACAAATCACAAAAAATGGCATTAAGAATGTCTGTAAGGTAGAAAAGACCTGTTATTTCAAATAGTTATGTAGTTTATTCACTTGATTATGAATGTGACTTTAGTAATGATAAGGATCTAGTTTCATTTATGCA